GAGAAGCTGAGAAGAGATCAAGTGACTGGTCTAGGATCAAACGCCTGCTTGGGGTGGTGCTAGAGCTAGAGTCACACCATGTGTCCTTATGCCAGGACTAGAGACAATGATTTTTTTTTTTAAATCAATTCCCACCCACATCATTGCCTAGATAGACCAGGAAGTGAAAGCAACAGACATATTCCTTAAGCAGTTATAGACGTTTTGACATGCATTTTTTTAATACTCTCAACAATGTTCTGATCAGTTATTATCCCATGGTCAAAATCATGAAAAAAAGAAAAACTGAGACTCAAAAATATGCAATTACTTGCCCAAAGTCACATATCAAGAAGGGACAGAGCTGGGACATCAACTTCACAGCCCACATTGAAGAAACAGCACAGACTTTGATATTGTGAATCACCAGTTCCACAACTAGCATATGGGTGAACCCAAAATATATCGTCTAGTAATTCTAGATGCGCTTTTAAATGACAGCCACCTATAACATGCAGTGAGTCCCCCTTACAACATCAAATTATAATACACCTTACGGTGTCTATTTTTTTTTCTACAGACTGTTTGTATTTTAAAATCTAAAAACTTTTCCCTAAATATTTTGCATTTATATGCCTTATTTATCACTTACCAGATCTCCTGTAAAATATTGTGAAGAAATGAAACCTAAAAGATAACACGCCAAACTGACATACTATTCCAGGGTTATTTGTTTGTTTATTTATTTGCCATTTGGGCTTCCATATTTTAAAGACAACTTTATCAAGATAGAACAGTTGTCCTCATTACTTAAAGTATACGTACTATTATCTAAATGTCTAATGTCACTTGGGATTGTGGCCGGCATAGCTGGGGGATGAGAAATGCACTAATGGAATTCATTTACAGTTAATTCATTGCCAGATCTAGAATTTCGCCTTGATCATTTCTCACCAAAGGGTATTCTCTTTTGCTATGAGAGATAGGATGTTTGTTAGCTAACAGTCAGAAAGGCCATAATAGGCAGGGCAGCCAGGGCCGAACACATGGCGAGTCCCACATGCTCCAGCTGCTCTCTGAGCAGAGTGGTAGATAGAGGCAGAGAGTGTGTGGCAAAGATACAGATGGAGGAACCCAGCCATTGCCAACCCAGTCATCAATCTGCCAGATTGTGCAAAATGGTATCCAGTGTGGGCTGGAGGCCAGGCAGGAAAGGCAAGCCCTTCCCCTTATCAAGCAGAATTCTTCCCCTCTCTAGGCAGAGCCAGGCCCTGTATGAGACTATAAGGCCCAATGGATGGAGAAACAGCACCCGATGAGTGGTCAGTAAAATGCAGGAGAATGCGCATGTACGAAACCCACTCACTGGGATCTGGGAGCTGGTTTGTTTCATGAGCAACTTTTATGTCTGTCGGTCTTAATTGAAAATCAGGAATAGCTTCCTCCCTTTTAGTTATAAAACTACCCCCTTCCTCCCTCTCTTCCTTCCTTCTTTTCTTCCTTATGTAAACACTCATTATCACTTAATATATTCCAGGCATTGGGTCAGTAAATAGATATATAAGTTAGTATATACCCTTGCTCTGATTTTTTTTTCTTTTATGCTTCATACGTCAGTTGTGATTTGAATATTGTTGGCCAGTAGTAATAATTCCTTACTGCTAATCACCTTTGACATGAGAGCCTTAGGACATTTTACTTATGGATGTATTTGAGCTCCGTACCCTTTTGCCTTCTGTTTGGTGTGGTATGCCTTGGCGTGATTTTGTTTCGATTTGCATGTGTGTGTACGTGTGTGTGTACTTGGGTATTTTTTTTTAACAAGAATGGGTGTGTATAGATTTTCTCACACAGCTTCTTGCTTTTTTGCCCTCTTGTGTGAGTAGTAGGAGGCTTCACGGAATGTATAGCTTCTAGAATTTGCACAGCTCTTTCCTATAGAGTAAGAATGTTTTGGGCTTCTGAAATGGCTGAGGCAAGCAATGTTTATTTCTTTTCTCATTTATTCTCATGTGTTTATCACTCTCCATCCCATTTCCCTGATTTCCTTTTCAATCATGTCATTTCATGACATTACATGATAAATTTATTAGTTCATTTTTTAGTTTGTTTGTGTCCCTCCCCCAACTATGCATCTGTTCACAGCTATGTGGAGACACAGTGCTGGAGCAATTCCTGGCAGAGTGGGTACTCACTCTCTCAAACTGTTGAATGCAAAATGAGTGAATTTAGTTTGAAAGAAATCATTCACATTGTGTTACTTCGTCCTTGGTTTTTATTTATTCTTAAGCAATACACAAATCATTGCATGTCATCTGGTCCATATTGAGAATTTCCTGCAGTGTTCATCTTCAGAGAAATCAAGGTCAGAGGGTTCTATCCATAAGGAGGTCCTCTAAAGATCCAATCTTTTGTTCTTTCAACACATATTGATTGAGCCTACTATATACCAGTTCTTTTTTAGGTAGCATACAAGGCAAGGCAAAAGTCCTTCCCGTGAGAACATCCTAGTCAAATGAAGAGGGACATGCAAACAATAATTGCAATTAATTGGATAGATGTCAGGACAGAGATCTGTAAAATGTGTTGTGAGAGCAATAATAAGACAGGGCCTCCCTTTTCCTGAGGGGACCTGGCAAAGGCTTTGGAAAACGCAATGACATTTTCAGTGAGTCTGAAAGGATACATAATAGACATCATTTTTCCTGCTTTCTAGTCTACCTCATTAAACCTATATTCCAAAAGACCATCATTAATCTGATATGTTTAATTCATTTCACATTGATTAACTACTATGTACCTTCCACTGGGCTAGGCCCCTGGGATACAACAGAGAATAAGAGAGGCACGACATTCCATAGAAAAGAATAGCAATAGCGATATGTAATTATTTGTGATAAGAACTAGAAAGGAGAAACACAAGGTAAGAGAGTCATGTACAACAAGAAAGCCAAAGCTAGTCTGTGGGATGAGAGAAAGGTCCCTCAAGGCAATGTATTTCATGTATCTGAGCATGCGTGAATTTATCCCCATCTGTTCCCTAAGATAAAGAAGAGTAATGCAGGTCCATCATGTACAGTAGGGACAAACAAAGCCTCTTGGCACCTAATTTTGGCAGAGATAGGTCTCAGGGCAAAGAGGGAAGGCTGAATCCTTGAAGCTATTCAAACATTTTTACATGGCAGAGCTCATTAACTCATTGTTAATTCCAAGGGATGTTAGGCACAAAATATTTTTAACTCTGCACAGCCGTAGCTAGACAGCATCTGCCAAGGTGATCCATGCTCGCCCATTGTTTGCCTGTCTGACTCGGAATCCTGCCTATTCCTATTGACTTTCCATCCCATTCCGATTTGCCCATAGTTCTATTTCCACTACACTATTCTATCTTGTACTTTCATATCATAGGAGTTTTTCAGTGTTTAAAGAAGAGTGCATCTAACTAATTTTGTTTTCCTAGGTCTTCAATATTAAACACAAATTCAACAGATAGTTTTGCTAAGTCACCGCTGAGGAAGTGTCATGCTTCAGAGGAAGGATTCTAGAGTCAGGCATCCCTGGCTTCAGAGCTGGGGTTTGTGATTTACTAGTTCTGATGACCTTGGACAAATTATTTTAACACTTCTCCTCCTCAGGTGTTTTGTCTGGACAATCAGGATAACAGTATCTATGAATAGGCCACCTTCTAAAGCTGCTTCAGACACTGTCTGGCTATGTGTGGCCAAGTCCCCGAGACCTTGACTTCCCTCACTCATAAAAAGAAAGGGGAAACATCTATAAATGATTCCAGTTTGAAAATTATATAGTTTGCTTTCCATCACCCATGTGCCATTCATGATATTGTCATATTTATTCATCTAAACAGATATTCCATACTGACAGGTGGAATACGAAGCCTGGGAATATTTAAATCATTGATAGAGTTTTTCTAAAACCACAAGGATATGCATAGCAAAGAAGAGCATCTCTGAGATCACAGTCTTCTGGGGGAGATGCTGAAATTAGGATTAGGAAAACAAAAATTGCATGTTATGTGGTGGGAAGTCTGGACTTTGGCAACCAGATATCTTGGGGACCAATCCCAGTGGCAGTCATGTACCACTTGTATGCTCTGAAGGGTACATTACTTAACCTTGCTGAACTTTCACTCTTCACCACTAAAGCAAGGGTAATAATACCTATACCAGGGATCTTGTGAGCATGACAAATACTATGGTAAAGGCTGACACCCAGTTTTCAATATATAATGATACTTATTAACTTTTTATTCTTCACTGATGGTTCTCAGTCTTCAACTGCGGCAGTGTCAGAGCTGGTGACAACTTGCTCCATGCTAGTTCCTTATTTTAAATGGAGATACACTGCTGCCGTGTGCTATGCACATAATGAAGAAATATGAAATGTAGTCCCTGTCATCAGGGAGCTTACAGTCTATGCAGAGGCATTATGATTTAAATGGTAACATACATGTATTAGTTCAAGGTAACAAGAGAGAGGTGCCAATCATAATGAAGGGACAGTCAACCAGTTCAGTGTAGGATAAATATATTAACAGCTCAGGCAAACTGGTTTAAATAAGGATTTATCATGTAAATAATGGTAGTATTGCCATATAATGAAGTAATAATTTATTGTGATACGTGCATGTAATGCTTTGTTGGGCACATTGGCTGTCCCAGTCATTCCTCTTCATTGCAACTCACACATATTGGGTAAAAATTCATTCCCAGCATTAGTGAAGCTTATTGTGGATTCTATTACAATTTATTGTTTCTATTTATGTCTTTATATGACCTTATTTTTTAATATCATAGCCTGAAGTCTATCTGAAATTATCAATTATTGTTTTCTCTAATTCTTTGGAAGAGTTCAATGCAAACTACTCTTTAACTCTTCATCTCTCCAACACATCTTTTAAAAAGATGGTGAAGCCTTAGTTTGTTTTTTGGTTTTTTTAAGCCCCTGGTCTCTTTTATCAGACAGCCCTCCAACGTGACATTTCTCAAACCTTCCTTCTCCAGATTTTTATTGGTGAAATATCCATGTATTTCATAAAGTCAACCAGAGAATCCCTGATTGCCCAGGAGAAAACAATTCTAACCGGAGAATGCTGTTACTTGAACCCCTTACTCCGAAGGATCGTAAGATTCATAGGTGAGTACAAGAGGACACAGTGTTTATCTGGGATTCCCTCTGGACCCATATTTTAATATTGACTGAATATTACCAGATACCATCTAGGTGATTCAGGCAAGGGTGGGGAGCATGAAAGGCCACCAATATAATGAATGTGGAAATAATCAAACTTCCTGATGAAGTTTTCCCATCCGGTAATTGTGTTACGCAGGGAACTTAACAAGGTACGGGAATTCTAATCCATCAGGTTCTTGAAACTAACGCCTTTCCAGAGTTGGAAGCTGTTCTATGGAAAATGTTCACGACAAGGAATAGTTAAGGTGAGTTCTACTTCCTTCCTTCTAGGACTTCTACAAAAATTTCTGGGGTGATTGGATAATGATTATAGGTATAGGAATGAGTGTGTGCATGGGTATAGGTAGAATACAGATCTTGCAGAGTTCATACACAGTGAATACTTGATAAACAAGTATTACAGTGTTCTAATGAGATCCTTCAAATACCTACTGATGACATGGGAGCCAGGATAAAACTCCCAAAGTGTGAATATGGCTGGTATTAAAACAAGCCATGATACCATTTAGAACATATGGTACTGACAACTGAGAAAGTGAGGGCCAGATTACAGCAGGCTCTCAGTTTTTTCGGTTACCCTTGATCCTTTTTATTTCCCCTGTTGTAAAGGGATGAATTTCCCCAGGTCATGAGGAAATGACATCAAAATCAAATATGCAGTAACTTCTATGATTGTAGTGAGAATGAGGGAAGTAGTAGAGTGGGAAGCCTACGAAAATCTAATTTGAAAGCAGAACCCTTAACATTAAAGTAGTCTTCGGCATTTATTGATGTTATTTGCAGAATGACCTGTGGAAGTCTGCAGTCGGCTCACAGGGCATATATACCCTGATCAAAATGATGTCACTGCTGTCTGGTTTACTCATTCCAAACAATGGTGCCTTTCAAAGACATTCACAGTTTGGTCACTTCTCAGCACAGTGGCTAGATAACAAATCATCAAGGAGAAAAGAGCAAAGAGAATATTTATTATACAGGACACTTTATATACATTATTTCATTTAGTCCAACCCCATGCCCTGTAAGGTAGGTTACAGTCCTAATTGTGCAGATGAAGAATCTGATGTAAAATGATATACAGTAACTTTTCCCAAAAAGAGAGCGAGAGCGAGAGCGAGAGCGAGAGCGAGAGCGAGAGCGAGAGCGAGAGCATGCATACACACACATACATAATTTGAGTCGGGAAGAAGATGTTATGACCGCTGTCTGTCTATTTCCTGCACATGTAATTAAAGCAAGTTATTTAAAGTACAGGGTTATCAGATTGCAATTAAATGGAAGTACCTTTAAAAGTCACTGTTACTTTTCCTTGGCAAAGATAATTCCTACCTATTTGTAAACCACCCGAGCTGGGGCAGAGTTCAAAGAGTGGGAATTTTAACTGGCACCTGTCATGTGTATGAGGCCTCCCTGTATGCACTGGCAGGGAAAATCTTTGTTCACTGAGGGACCTCAGAAGACCCCACTATCCAGGGATGAATCCCACAGATTACCTGTTGTGATACTTGAGATTTCCACTTGAGTTACTGTGTTGGGCTGAGGTATGGTTTCAGGAAGACCACTATTAAAGCAGGAATATATCACCATTGGAGGAGCATCAAATTTCCATTTTTATAATCAATGACACATTGGTCCATTTGGATCTGTCATAAGCTAACAGAGAGCTGGATGCTGGGAGCATAAGCCAGGGACATTCAAATGAGATCAGTAAGAGTTCAGCAGCCTAGGGATACTAGAAGAGGGCAGCCAGTGGGGAACAAGTAAACCTTGGAGAATTAGGGGGAACAGCATCGAAAGGGAAGGGAGGTTGCTGGGTAAAGAAGCACTTGCTTCATACTTTCCCTCTTTCATTTTGTGGCACCAGGATCTGCTCAGTTGCTTAAATCGAAAACCTGGAGGTCACCCTAAACCATCTGGAACTTGTTAGAAATGTAAATTATTAGGCTTTTTCCCATACTTACTGAGTCAGAAAAATCTGGGGATGGAGCCTGATAATCTGTGTTGTATGACAAGTCATCCAGGTGATTCTAACGCACGCTAAAGTTTGACAGCCACGGGCTTAGGATGTTCCGTTTTCATGCCCCTTTAAGTGGTCTCTCTACATCTTGTCTTGCAACTTGGTTCCATTCATCTGCTATTCACCAGATATTCCCTGCTGAATATCTTTCAATGCCTTTCTGGTGTTTTTAACAGCTGATGCCTTGCCTCAGTTCCTGTTCACGTGCTGCTCCTTCTGCCCAGAAATTTCCCCTTGCCACATTCTCACCATTAAAGCTGACAAGTCCTGCTCATCCTTCAGAATGCTGCTTTTACATTACGTCTCCACCAATCCAGACAGCTAGTTTCCTCCTCTTCCAGGCCCTGTGGAGCCTTATACCTAAGCCTTTGATAGGCACTTACCACATTACTCTAATTACTTAAGTCCATTACGCCTGTTAATTTGTGATCCCTTGGAAAGCACAGACTGTATCTTTTTCACTTTGTATCAACAGCATATTGCAAAATGCCTGGCACATAGTAGGTTTTCAATACATTTTTTGGAGCAAAGATAACTCTGTTGAATCACAGATTTTCCTAAAATTGCTTCCATGAATGCTGATTCTTAAATATTCACTTGCCTCCTGTTTAATTAACTTTATTACCACGCTTCAGCTTAGGAAGCTGAAATTAAAGGCAATTTCTGAGAGAAAGTCAGAGAAGTCTATTCTGACTTTTCATATAGGAGAATTGGAGATGGGGCAGCAGTGTCTATTTAGAAGACACATAGGTGTCTATTTACCTCGAGAAGGGTTAACTTATTTTGTCTGAGTATCTGTGAATTCATTTTTTTTCCTAAGAGAAAAAAACATACCACTTAAAATTAAGATATTTTAAATGGAGATGTTTCCTTTGAAAAAATTATAGTAAAATAAGGTAGTAATCAAAATATTAGAAATATTATTGTAAAGAGCTTAATAGTCTTTTTTATTCGAGTACATACCAAACTACCGTATTTCCCCATGTATAAGACACTCCCATGTATAAAACACACCTTAATTTTGGGGCCCAAAATTTGAAAAAAAATGTATTACATAAAGTTATTGAATTCAAGTTTTATTCATCATAAAATTCATACAACTCCTCATCATTGTCAAAACTCCCAACCATTAGCTTGTCCTCATCTGTGTCTGATGACGAATCACTGTCTTCATATATTGCCTCGTCCTCAGTTCCATCTATGGCATTTGAAATCTACAACCACTGTATAAGACGCACCCAGTTTTTAGACCAAATTTTTTGGAAAAAGGTTCGTCTTATACAGGGGGAAATACGGTATATACTATGCAGTTGGCATTCGAAAATGATAACTGTTTCAGCTAACTATTCAACTTTAAACCTAAATGGCATGACTTCTCTTGCATTTTATGTAATTATTCTAGAATCCATTACAAATAGGATTTCCTGAAAAATACAATCAACTTTATATCACAAAAAGTGACCAATTAATTAGCAAAATATGTTTAACAAAATAATGCTTTATGCTGTCATGGATGAGAAAAAATGGGATTTTAACAGATTTCTGGTGAGACTATGTTAATATACACTTTCTGCATAGTGATTTGATAGTGTATTTCAATAGTCTTAAAAATAACTGTCCTTTTAAACCTGAAATTCCACTTCAAATAATCTACCCTAAGGAAACAATCAGAAATGTAGATTAATTTTTATGGACTAAAATTACTTTATCATAATATAACTTAGAAATATCTAATAATACAATTTTTAAAAATATGCTACCATCATAAGTTGTGACTTAAGAAAATTACATTTTTATAATATTATGTAAAAAAGTCAAGACACTATGAATCTATAATTATTTCAGAATAAAAAGGATATGTAATGTAAGTATGTGTATATGTATTTGTGTGTATGAGTGTATCTCATAGAAAAATAAAGGGAAATATACTAGAAGTTAACTGTTGCCACTTTTGAGTTGCAGGATAATGGATGAATAATTTTTAGGTTTTGCTTTCTATTCTGTATTTCCAATTTTTTATCATGAATATGAATAATTTTAAAATCAGAAAAAGCTAAACTTTTTTTTTTAAAGGGAAGGGTGGCAAAATAAAGGTTATGCAGAAGGATGGCTGAGTCCTTTAACGTAGTCTTCAGTGCAGAAAGCAGAGCTGAAAGAGGCACCTTAGCTTCCCAATTCCCTGTCTTCTCTAGTCTGTGTGGCATGAACTTCAACAGGTAGCCCCTTGCCCCATTCCACAGATTCACATTAAATTTTAACTGAGAAAATGGCAAGAATAGCAAAGTCAAGGGGAAAACATTCAAATTAAACCATCTCCTCCTATAGATAAATGCTCATCATTTTTATCATGACAGAGAGGATTGAATTTCTCTGATTCACAAATCCAACAGTATTTTTTCCCCCAAGTTTATCATTATAAGAAGGATGTGTCACCTCCCAGGCTTTAGGCATAAACCCTCATAGTTAAATTCCTCCACCCGTTTCTAAACCAGTGTATAATATTTTAAGTTGTGTGTATATGATGTGTGAAGGGAGGAAAGGAATTGGCTGAACTAACAAATGTGACTGACATTTTATAAACATGAATGTAGTCGAATTAGTAACACTAATTAGTAACACTTCTCCCTTTCCTCATTTCTTCCCTCTGCTTCCTTTCCCTTCTTATACCATTTCCTTTGATGTTGCATGAAATTGACCAACAACACACAGATTTAAGTTCTCAAGAGAGATAAACCCCTGTATTTCTTTTTCAACAGCAAAGCAAAATAAGGCAGTCACGTTTTCCCCAAAATTCATGATGACAAGTTCGGTCAAATTCTTTTCATTCACAAATATACTTGAGTAAACATGTTCTTGTAAGTATCAATTATTAAATAGTGATTTTTTATTTAATATTGAAAAATAAGGAATAAGCAGCATTAGACTT